TCTTGAATATGTCGAATAAAAGATTTGTGATTTTGTAAATACAATAACACCTTTCTTATAGATGAATTGTTCATATCTACAAATTGCTTTAAGAAAAATTTCTTAAAACTATCAAACATAAACCTATTTCCACCAGATATATAACACATATACATTTCATACCCCTTTTGTTGTCGCACCCATTTACAGGGCATCACAATCAAATTATATTTGGGCGCCAGAGCCGAAGAGCCGCCAACTAACCGCAACGTTTGTTCGACCGGGCGGACCAGACAGTCCAGCCCAATCGACAGGCCTGCTGCCGGCTATGCGCAGCCTTGTCGCTTCTTTCAAGATATAAATAACACAGCCCCACCCACAAGAAATTATCCTCTCTGGCCAGCCCTTTGTGTCGCCACACGACAAGCGTCTCTGCACCTGCGCCGACCCCCAATGCCCTTGGGGGGGAAGGCCTCTTCACATGTCAGTTTTAAATTTAAAGTTGTTGCGGGCATCAACATTGTTGTTGTTGTTGTTGTTGTTGTTATTATATATACATGCTTTTAGAGCGTATTATAGTTATAGTTCTCCGACTCTATAAAGTATATATGTTCTTGATCAGTATCAACAGACGAGCTAGATCCGTTGCAAAAAATCTATGCAAACTCTGTTTTTGGATATAAGTCCATCTTTCTATTGCAGGCAATGCATATGTCGTATCGGGCCGGATCGAAGCACTATATCTTATAGCTACCCTAGGAACGAACAGTCGAAAAGTAGGTTCTCGTATAGAAAACTTTGCGGTTTATCAAGATATCGCAGAAAAACTTGGCATTTAGAGGTTCCACTATGCTCCCTATATATATGGAAAATCGGACTGCTATATCATAAAGCTGCCATAGGAACAATCGGTCACAAAGTGGCTTTTTGGATGGATAACTTTTTGTTCGTTAAGATATCTGGACTAAACTCGGCATTTACTAGTTAAACTGTGCTGCTTACATATAATGTCAAATCGTATCCAGATCGCACTACTATATAATATAGGTCTGTAGGAAGAATCGGTCGAAGACGAGTTTTTGTTATGGGAAAATAATCCATTATCCAAGATATTTTCAATAAAATCAACATTTATGAGCTTCAATACTATCACATATCTAGAAAACCATAAGACAAATGTCCACAAGGGTATTACAACTTCGGCGTGCCACTCTCTCTCGTTATTATTATTCTCGTCGTCGTTGTTGTTTTTGCATTCCATATTTGTAGCCTGTTTTGTTTTCAAGCCGAGCTACTGTGCAAAGCTCTCATGAATGTTTTGAGTATCTATCTGGCTTTATGACTATTGCAGCCGGTCATCTACTGCCTCTGCCTCTGCCTCAGCCTGTGCCTCTTCTACTACCTCCTAGCTCTTTCAACTCTGTTGATTTGATAGCTACCGTATTTTTACAGCTCTAATCGCAGCAGAAGCAGCAGAAGAACTGACAGAATAGCCGACAGCGAAATTGGCGTGCAAAAAGAGGCGAAGGAAAAATTCTCGACGCTGCCATCAAATGAAATTTAACTGAACGTCAAATGGGCGGCGCTGACATTGAGCAGGGGTGGGCGGGGCGTGGCTGGCGCAATTTATCGATAGGCTAAATAAAAATTATCGATTTCGCAGCGGGCAAAAAAAAAGAGAAGACCTTTTGAAGTTGAGTGCGGGAATTGACGGCAATTCCAGAGGGGAAATGAGAGGGAAGCAGAAAAACCGTTTGATGCTCGCAATTTAAACGAAATTGAAAAACGTTGGCGAAATGAAGCTAAAAAGCGACAAATAGAAACAGAGCGAGACAGAGAGAGAGAGAGAGAGAGAGAGAGAGAGAGAGAGAGAGAGAGAGAGAGAGAGAGAGAGAGAGACGGCGAGTGAGTGCGAGAGAGTGGGCGCATTCGGTTCGATTTATGTTTTATTGAAGGCAATTTTTTCGTTGCAAAATAATTGCCAGATGTGAATTGTTTTCTATTGATACAAATTATATAAATGTATAAATAAATAAACTGCCCAGCGAAATCATGACTGTATTCGGCCCTCTCCCTCCCCGCCCCCACACTGGACCAAGGCATTCTATTTTATTTATAAGCGGAAATTAGAACAATTGATTTTGGTTTGAGAGGCGGAATGGGAAAGTTTCCCAAAGCAATAAATGGTTGATTGAAACGGAAGCGATAAATGGAGAATTATGGGCTGCAATAGCAAAGCTAGAAAATGATTTAAAGCGAGAAAGCAAGGATATATACGGCACGCCGAAGAGTTAATACACTTTCTAGACATATGCATAACGGATTTGCGAATATGTGAGAATAGAATTAAGACTGAGACTTAAAAAGAATGAAAACTGAGCATAGAAAGCGGCAGACGGACAGTCGGAATTGCCTATATTAACTCAGTTGTTGATGCCGATCTAAAATATATAGACCTTACGGAATCAGAGATGTCTTCTTCTATGCGTTGCACAATTCTTGATGAAAAAATAAGCCCCTTCCCCTCCCCTACAAGAGTATAACAAGTATTCAGACTCAGGCAAAGAAACACATGCATTTAATTGATTATTCGCTTTTGCTTTGCCCTCACATTCGTAAACGTTTGTCTAACAACTTGCTATAAATTTGGCAAAGCAATGAACTCTACTTGATTTTCTTCTTTTCAAATCGAGTGGGAAGCGCGCCCAGACCATTTATGGAATTTCTGCTGAGCTGAGTGAAAACACACCTAATTTAACTCAGGTACCTCAGCTACAGTTAAGATGCGGCTTGCGGCTAAATAACAAATTCTACAGGTTGCTGCTTTCGATATTGCGCGCAAATTTTCGCAGGTACTTAACACTGATTAAATACAAAAAACACTTTGGCACAAATCTTGTTTTAGCTACAAATGCGCTGCAATTTCGTAAATTATTGCAAAAAATGCGCGGAATGCGGTTAACAAAGGCAAAGCAAAGCAAGCAACAACAACAATCTGTTGACTGAGACGTTGACGGCGACGGCGACAGCGACAGCGACAGCGGCAACAAATTAAATGATTCATCGACTCACTTTGACACACTGAATTAATTATCCATGCCAACGATTTTGTATCGCACGAGCTCTCTCTTTCTCTATGTCAATCTGTGCGCTCTCTTCGACACGTGCTCTCTCACATGAACTTGAAATACGAGCATTTTTAATTGCCAACAGAAATGTAAATACCAATAAAATGCAACAACAATAAACAAGCAGACGTCGCTGCGTTCTGCAAGTTCTAAAAATAGACAGGCATCTCGCGTTGCTTTTGTTGTCATTCGGAAAGTGCCTGAAAATGCAATCAGGCTCAGGCACGCCGCACTTCGGCTCTCTACACAGCCTGAAAGCCGAAGCGAGCCGACAAGAACAAGAAGTCTCCGCTTGATCGCCAAAATATATTTACGCCCTCTGCTCTATGCGTTACGTTTATTTTGGAGAATGCACTCATGCCATCTCACTCGCTCGCTCGATCGCCAAGCACACGCTGTTTACGCTCGCAGCTCCAATTTCTTGTTGTCTTTGATTGATGATGACGATTATGACTCAGTCTATCAACTGATGAGCATCATCAAGAGCGGGAGCGGGAGCGGGCGGCAAACTTGACTGACGGCCTCATCAAAAGTCTACACAGAGTGGACAGTGGAGTGGGGCGGGCAGCTTTAATCGAGCATGTGTTAAGTTTGTTAGGTGTGAAGAAATAAAAATTAAGCCAATTCAAAAATAAAAAAAAAATAGATACGTAAATGCAAATGATTTGCCCAAATCAAAAGCAAACAACGCAAAAAAAAGAGATGCATATCTGGGATTAACAGTTATTTGACAAGCTTAAGAGCTTTTGCTGGTGTTGTACAATTTCCACAGCCTAAAAACTAGTGTTAGTTAACCCACTTCAGCACCCACAACAATTCTCACATGTAATCCGCTTTGGCTCCACCCTCCCTCCCTCCCCCCACCCAATACCACTTCATATTGTTTGCTGTGGACAACAGCAAAAGCGTTGACAACTCTTCTGTCGCTGCTCGGACCCAATTCGGCAAACTATAAACCAAGCCAAGCCCCATTTTTTTAACAATCCCCCCGCTCTGCTCCCCTCCCCCCTTTCACAGCTATTCATACGGTTACATTCAAGTGCAGTGAACCATTTTGGGGCACGTCGCTGGGCAACAAAAGAACAAAAACATTTCCGGTTCTGCGGCAGATGTGTAAAAACAAATAGAAAAAAAGTTTTTGTTAACAGACAATCAATAAAAAAAAAGTAAAGTTGGACAACAAATTGAAACAATGGCAGCAAATAACAAAAATAGTTTTTAAAGTTATTTTCATTTCATTTTATTTCATTTAACTTCAAACTCGAAGCTCAACCAATCGAAGCGATTAATGGAGGAAATTTAATGGAAATGGGCAGCGAATTGAAATTGTTTTTCTAACAAAAACAACAGCAAAACGAACGTTAAGAAATTTGTTGGATAGACTGCGATAAGATATCAGAAACTTAATCTCGAGAACTTGTGCGTTAAAATTCGACAAAAAAAGGTTTTGTCGTGTTTTCCCAGAAAAATACTAGATCATATTTAAAATGTAATGACTTATAAAGGCCCTTTTCTAGAACTTTTCGTTTAAGGACTGAATACTTCAACAGAAAATTCCTTAAATATCAGTATTTTAGCTTAAAAGCGTGAAATGCATTATTTCGAAAGAACTCGGGTAATATTTTATATTTTTTATGTGAATCAATGAATCATATGCCCATTCTCTTCTATAACATTCGCGCATGTTATGTAAATAACATGATTAACTATGTTATGGTAATAACATAAACTATGTTATTGTAATAACATAACAAACTATGTTCTTGTAATAACATAACAAACTATGTTATTGTAACAACATAAACTATTTACTACTGATAACATACTCAACTATGTTATTTAACATTTCTGCAATCTACAGAGTTGCCAGCCCGGAAAATTTGGAAAACTTACCACCATTCGCATTGATTGCATTCGATTCCTTGGCATTGCCTTGATTTTGGCTGTGCAAAATATCAGAGAGGGACAACGAAGAGGCAATTAGCTGACGTTTTTCCTCAAAGTTAAGGAAATCCATGGAATTGCTGCGCTGCGGCGTCACAGTTATTGTCACCGACTTCTGCATCTTGGCCACAACGCACAGCTGCTGCTCCAGCTCAGCGCTCGAGGCGGCATTGGGTGAATCCGGCGGCGACAACGAGCCCGGATGATGATCTATGCCATCCGTGAGATCCGGCGGTGGCAGCGACAGCTGTTGTTGCTGCTGCTGTTGTTGTTGCTGCTGTTGTTGGTGTTGCTGATGTTGCTGGTAGGCAAGTGCCGCATGTTGCTGCTGGCTGAAGTAGGCGAACGCGGGCTGTTGCGCGGTGGCAGCGCTGTAGGAGGGCGGACCCAGCGGTGGGGCGTGCGTGACGCGTGTGGCAGCCGCCGGCGACAGCTGATAGCCGCCGCCGCCGCCGCCGCCGCTGCCGTGCGAGCCGGGCGGCCCTTCCGACTGATCGTGCCCGTTGATGGCAGCGACCAGTGTTGCCAGATTGTTGCGACTCGTATTGCTGTTCATGTACTTGGAGCCAGCTCCATTGGAGAGCTGCTGTTGCAGCTGATGCTGCTGCTGCTGCTGTTGCTGCTGCTGTTGCTGATGTTGCTGCTGTGCCTGGAACTTGTGCTGCTGCTGCAGCTGCGCGAGCAACTGTTGCTGCTGCTGCTGGTACGACATGTTGCCCCCGTTGCCCCCGCTGTTGCTGCCCGTTGATTGTTGGCTTTGCAACTTGTTGCTGCGCAGCGACATGTTCCAATTAGTATGCCAAATACTCAGCTACGTTCTGCAGTTGCCATCATGTATTTAAATGTGTGTTTTTTTTTTCTCAGTTGTCGTTATGTTTTAATAAGCCAGAAACACGCGACACCTGCAACATGCGCGTGGGTTGCTCGTTTAGTTTTTTAAGTCACAATTGGTTTCGTTTCACTTTCTTTGCTTTTATGGTTTCACTTTTTGTTAATTACACTGCAATTAGGCAATTAAGAGACACATTTATGAACATGTCCCAAGGCCAACAACAACAACTACGTCTCATTAAGACTTGACACCCTTGTATTTATATTTTATTTTGTTTTGTTGTGTGTTTTCTATTCGCTTTTTACTTTGAACTTTAAAAGCTGGGTTAATCGTGCTACTAATTAACTAGATCTTACAATTTCATTTACTACAAAGTTTTTGACAAATTTTGCAAAGGCAAGAACTCATGAACTATTTCCCTTGGGATATTTTTAAATGTCCACAAAATGCACAAGGTGGCAACGCTCAAACGGCAATCAGCTGTTCAATTATACAATTGAAGTTTTACTTATTAAATATGCATAAAATAGGGTTTAAGCAACAATTCGAACCACACGATGTTCTTTTAGCAAATATATGAAATTCTTTTTCGGATAAGACACTTTTTGTTAATCTTAGCTGTTATTGGTTACAGCTATAAAAAGGTGGCGTTGCCAGACATTTTCTTATGCATAGTAAAGTTGGCTGCGCCTTGACAATTTGTGAATTAAGGCAATTTTATTGTGTGTATGTTGAATTCTTGAATTGCAGTTTGGGCGTGACATTTTTAAACGATTTCACCAAATGAATAAGCACAAAAGCATTAACAGAAAGAGAAATATAGCGACAGCGCGTACAAGAAAAGAATCTCAATTTGAAGTATCATTCAGCAAAATGTTTTCAGTTTGATGAAAATTAACCTAAGCGGCACATGCACATGGATGAGTTTGAGGCAGGGGCAGGGGCAGGGGCAGAGTAAAAGCAGAGGCAACAACCACAACAACAGCCACTTGTCATCATCAAGTGCAACAACGCTGCCAGCTGCGTTGCAGTCGGAGGCAGACATCGGAGATGAAGTCGCAAATGGAAATAAAAGTGGAAATGGAGCTGAGAGTCAAGAGCTGGGGATTTCGGTGTCTACATCCAGTGCTGAGACAGGGAAATGGCAAGCATATGCAATATGCCAGCGGGCCACTTGACTAAAACAAAAGCGAAGCGAAATGTAACAAATTGTGGCAATGAAATCTGTCGAAAGGAGGAAATAAAGAGGCGCTGTTACGTCTGAGGGGGCAGTACAGAGTGTAAATAAACGTGCCTTCAAGGAAATGGAGTAAGTGTTATTAAAACGGCAGGAGAATGCAGTCAAAACAGATTCAAGAACAGATTCAGATCATTTTATGTTAACGCGTCTGTAAACTTAAGGCTGTTAACAGTAAAATTAACATTATGGACATTAACAGCAGATTTTAACATGCAGCTAAATATTTATAATAGTTCACAGGAATGTTAATTTATTATTGGGAGACAACTCAAAGACCATATTCTTTTTAATCAACTTTCAAATAAATTATAAAGATTGACTGAATAGTAGTTTTAAATTAAAAATGCTTTAAAACATTGTGAAACGATGTGTGAAATGGCATTGGGAAAGACATTTACAGTCCAAACAGTAAACGGACTTATTTCATTTGGTACGTTTACCTTTTGCCTTACACATTCCGAACTAAGTCAATTTAAACATTTCTTTGCCAACAGACAAGAGGAGTCTGCCCTCGCAATCCTTTAACAGCGGCAAACCAGTTACCAGCTGCTCCTGGCCAGACAAATCTTATTAGAATACTCTTGTGTATTTATGGAAAAAAGGAAAAGGAAGAGCGAGAGAGCGAGCGAGGCAGCACAGTGGATAACAGGTCAGGTAGATTTCAACTTGGTTTAAGTGCAGATACAGATACAGATACAGATACAGATACACAGAAGCGAACGCAGACAGAGGCACGCAAAGCGCACAGGTAAACGCGGCACGGGATTGAGGCAGAAGATGATGATGATGACAGGATACACACAACGAGCCCAAAAAGTAAGAGAAACCAGAAAACTGGTTGCATTTAAGGTGCCGCATTTGAGATACCCTTGTGCAGAGATGCCACAAATATAAGATACATCTCTATACTTTCCACGAGGGAGATGTTTGAATTAGTCAAGTAGTGTAAATCTCATCTTTTGGGCGATATTTAGTGGTTAACTTAGCTGCTGCTTAGGACAGAGAAATAATTATGGGCTCTATTTGCTGTTAGAGCTAACATACCCTATGTTAGGGCATACGAGGTTATCTACAGAGCAGACCAAAGGGCTCTCAGACAACATTTTAAAATTCAATCTGCGTGTTCGCTCCTAGACAACAATAATTACAGCAAGTGAAACGCATGTTTATTTAATGATCTTTAAAATTAAACACAAGCAGATCTCTAACTAGATATATATATACATCAATGCGTAACTGCCCAATGGGCGCAGCGAAAACAAAACGAACTGAAAAACAAGCCACAACATTAGGCGAAACTTGGCTAACTGTAACTGTTATTGTTAATGCTGTTGTTGTTGGTGTTGCTGTTACTGTTACTGTTAGTGTTCCAGTGCGCTGACTTTGGCTCGTTAGTTTGGGGCTATTTGGCTTTGGGATTTGGCGCGCGCGTCAGCGTATTTAAAACGCGGCCACGCCAAAAGAATCAAAGAATTGGCGCAAATGTGGAGCAGCCGCAGACAACAGCACAGGCTAATACAATAGGCATACAAATCAACAGCAGCAGCAGCAACAGCAGCAGCAGCAATTACAATATAAAACGTTTTATGGCAGAGAAAATGCTACAACATTTAATTTAACGAGTATCCATTGAGGCAGACAGAATCAACATAAAAGCGCAGCTGTGGTAGACAATAACATACGCTGTTAAACAACTGTTAAGCATTTAAGAAATAACCTTTCCAAATTGAATTCATGTTAATTGCCAAATGCACAGTTACAGTTACGATTGAGGTTAACAGCGCTGCCAGCAGCAAACGGTGTTTTTGCATAGCGTTGCCAGTACGCTGCAATTCTAACATAAGTAAGTGCTTAATGTTAAATGCTATGCAAAGCTGTTCATAAAAGTCCCAACAGCATGTAATTATAGGGTATGCATGAAGCGGAACGATTAAATTAGCAAGTGCGTCGTCATCGTTGGGTGAAGGAGGGGGGGGGTCGGCGGCGTTGAGCGCTTCTGGTGGCGGCGGCATATTGCACATATGCGAAACGGAAAAGCGATGACGCTGGCAACTTGTAACTTGCAACATCAGCGGTGCATATTAAATATGAATAAAAGAAAGACAAAAAAAAAAAAAAGAAGCTTGCAGCGAGTGTGTGTGAAAAGCAAATACTACAACAACGGCGCAGGCAGTGGGTCTGCAAAAGTAACAACAACAACTGTGGCAGCATACAATGCACTGACTGTGGGTCTCTTGTGGCGCTGTGGCAGGTTCAATGAACCTTTACAGTTCAGTAGTTTAGCGATTTTTATGGCACTGTGGCAACGCCGAATGTGTGGCATAGGGCCTCCAGCGCCATTTGGAGGCGAGCTTTTGGGAAAGTCAAAAAACAACAGAAGCAACAACAACAACAACAACAACAACAACAACAACAACAATGCGGTACAAAAGATCAGCTACGCGAACAAAAATGGAAAGCGCTGAGAAACACTGCAGCATGCGGGAGGCGAGGAGAGAAGAGCGGCCTGGTTTGTAGAGATTGACTAATGCGATTTGTTGGCAACAATCAAAGCAGCCGAGATTCATATGTTGCACACACACACACACACACGCACACATGCATGCATGCACTCATGTATTTGAGTTTATGAGTTGCTGGCGCCTCTAGCGCCAAAATCCAATCAAATCCAATTAAGAGCAAAAAGCGCAAAACTTGCGCAGTGTTTGAGGGGAGTGTGCAAAAAACAAAAAAGCAAAAAAAAAAAAAAAGAACACAAAAAAAGAAGAAGAAGCAGCTGAACTTTTGTTCCATTACTCGAGCACGTTTTGTGCCATATGTAAACTCGGCAGCACACGCGACTCGAACAGAAACCGAAACAGAAGCAAAAGCAAACAGCGAAACCAAAGTAGCCGCCGCCGCCGACGCCGCAGCAGCAGCTAAAAAACTCTACAGAATCAACAACAACAACAACAGTAACAAGAGTAACAGTAACAGCAGCAACAGCAACGGCCACCGACCGAATGCTCTCTGACCAGCAGCTGTCGCACAGGCCTTGCACAGTGGCGCTCGTATGTTAAGAAAGAGCGTGAAAAAATTGCAATTGCACATGCTCTTCCTCTCCCGCTCTCTCTTAAGTAAATACATGCTAGATGGCGTATTGTATTTATTATTAATTTTCGATTAAAATGCACCCTCTAATCAGCAACTGTTGCAGGCCTTACGCACGGCCACATGTTAAATAGAAAAATAGAAAAGAAGTGCAATTTGTTCGATTAAATCAAAAATGTAGTATAAGTTATTTACTTATGATTAAAATGTACTAGACATTTCCAGTGATTTATAAATAGCATAGAGGCAATAGCAGGGTCACGCACAGTGTGCGTATGCTTTCAATATAAATTGAAAAGAATCATATTTTTCCTAGTTTCATTTTTGTAATACTTTAGTTTAACTTTTTTAAGAGAAAAAGAAGGGAGCTGTAGATAGTTTGCTCAGTCTGTGAAAAGCTTATGTTTCAATATTAAATTTACTTTAAATAATACTTTAAGTTGTTCTATAAAAACTATAATATATATCGTCAGCATATGCAATCTATGTTAAATCAAACAGGACCCACTGTGCCACTGAGCTTCTACATTGCACATAACACACAAAGCACACAAACATACGTATGTAATTGCATGTATGTGTGTGTGTGTGTATGTGTGTGGGGTTGCTGCTAATGGAACACAATTCACAGGGCGGCTGCTGCTGCGAATGTAGGCAGAGGCAGCAACAGCGGCAGCGGCAGCGCCAGAAGTATTTGTGCTAAGTCTCATTGTCTGCTGTCTCCTTCTTTGTCTGCATGCAAGAATACAACTAAAACAACAACGACAATAACAACAACAAAAGGCAAGCATACAGCAGAGACCATTGAACAGACAGACAAAACACAACTGAGAGCACAACGACGCTGGCGTCGCCGTCAACTTCAGCGTCGACGTCGCGATGTCAAAGTCCAAAGCTGCAAAAGTTTTTGGCCACGTGCGGGGGTTGCGAGGGCGACAAGCCGTCGCAGTTAGTGCGTTGAAATGTTCACATAAATTTAAATTTGCGCCCACAACAAATACCAACAGTAAAGGGCGGGGTGAGCGGGGAGGGGGCCAGCAAATGCGTTTTATGGGGGTTGCTCTGCTATTTGGATGCTGCCCGGGGGTTGTGTTCAGCGGCAGGAGGAAGGGGCACATGAAAAAACACAACAGAAAGTAGTAAAAATCGCAGCAGACAAGCGTCACGCGTGCGAGAGGGAGAGAGCACGTCAGAGGAATCGCTCTATGCAGCTTCCATCCCACTCGCACACACACGCTTGTGAATTTCAATTACAGGCGCAATGGCAAAAAATAAAAATATATAAAAAGAAATTCCGTCTAGACTTGTAAGTAGATAAAAATATTTTTCCAAAAGAAATTACATAAAAAAAATAAATAAATATTTTGTAGAGGAAAATTGCGGAAAATTATGTTGCAAGCCATAGGAATTCCCGATAAGGAAATAACTGCAGTGCCGCAGATAGGTAGACGCAGGGGGGGGGGGGGGGGGGGCGTTGAGTTATTGCTACAACGTTTAACGGCCGTGTTGCGGATAAGATAAGCACGGAACTGAAGAAACACTCCAAAAAAAAAAACACCCAAACAAAACGTTGGCATGTTAAAATTCAATTTACAGCGGCGAACACGGAACAATTTTTTAAATGTTAAACAACAGCAGCTGCTACGTCAGAAAAAAAACCAACAAAAAAAAATTATAACAGAAGAAAAGAGCAAAAGACAGAGAATACATTTTATATCCATTTTTTGCACAAAATGAATATAATAATAATAGATAGTTTTAATGTGCTGTTGCTTTTTTTTCACTTTTTGTTTTGTTATTGATTTCACTTTTTTTCATAAATATTTTATGTTGCTTTTTATACACAAATGGCCGCTGCCGCCGTCGCTGTCGACGTCGACGTCGACGTCAATGCTGATGCCGCAGCTGCTTAACACAAGCGCAATGTGCTGTTGTTTTTGTTGCCGTCCGTTTGTGTATAACAGAAATAGAAAAACTGTTTTTGTTGTTGCTGCTGCGCTGCTGCTGCTGCTGCTGGCACCTGTACAACGCTGCCGACGCAGCTGCTTTTTTATTTCTATATTGTTTTTTAGTTTTGTTTGGTTCATTGAAAATTGTATTCACACCTGCAGTTTTCACAAGCTGCACAACACGAATTTGTTTAAATTTGATTGGAATTTCTTACAAAATTTATGCAAGACCGAAAACAAACGCGAAACGCAGCGGCAGCGGCAGCCGCAGCGCAGAATGCGACGTCAGCGTCGGCGTCGACGTCTGCCTCAGAAGTTGTAAAACCGGATTTTCTTTTTGGGCGCCTTTAGTAGTTTTTATATCTGTAGTTGTTGTTGTTGTTGCCTTTTGCACTTTGTTGTCGATTCATATTGAAATGAAAAACCCAATTTTTGATTGAACACAAGTTTTTTTCTCAAAACATTCGCTGCCGCAGCGGCCACTCTTTAAATTCTGCTTCTTCTTCTTCTTCTGCTTGTTCTTCATTGCCTTCACATTCCATAGAACGCTGCCATTTGTTTACCCGCCGTTGCGGCGTCTTCTCTTCTTCCTCCTCTTCTTCTTTCACTACTAAATTCGCACTTACACTTGCCTGCAGCTGGCGATAATAATTTTCGCAAGTATTTGCGTGTTTGCCTTTCAGCTTTACTTATTTATGATTTACTAATCATTTATTAATGCACAATAGACAAACGCACACACCGACACAATTGGGCGCACGCACGCAGTTGAATTAATTTTAACAACAAATTTGGCGTCCAAATGCGTTTGTTTTTATATGAACCGCAGACCGCGTCCAACTCGTTCAACGGTTTTTTTTCGACTCACTTCGTGTACGCTCGGCCGAGAGAGGCGAACATCAACAACAGAGCTGAGCAATAATCGAATACATGTTGTTTTTCACAAGTCACGAGTCGCAGTTTGCACTGTAATTACATTCATTCGACTATTGCTGCTGACTGACTTGCTTACTGCTATTTAATACGATTTACATTCTTCATTTAATTTGTTTTCGTTCTTTTCATCATATTTACCATCTGTATATATCTTTTGCTTTTTGCATATATTCCTACAATCGCTGTTATTCATGGGCAGTCACTTCGGCAGAGCGCTCATCTCTAGTCAAGCGTGTGTATGTGTTAGTGTTTACCAGCTGCTTTGCTGTTGTTTTCAATGCAGAACAACTCTCCCGCTCGCTGGTTTGTATCGGTGTAAGTCTGTTAAGTTAACAGCTGCACGTTCAGTTGATGTTAACACTTGCAGGTGGACATTTAATAACTACAACTAGTTAAAACGGCTTTAAAGGCAATGAATGAAGGTTATAGTAAATGCCTTTGCATTTATTTACTCGTTGCAGATGCATATTATTAAATAATAGATAATATTGTACATTATAAAAGTGAGCACACTTAATTTGCACAGTGTGGCAACGTTGCCAACTGAGCGCGGCAAACTCAACAGTGTGAGAGAAAGAGCCGGAGAGCGGGAGAGCATCAATTTATAGCATGCGAGTGACATGTGAATAACATAATTCCCACAAAACAAAACAACAACAAAAACCAAAAACAATTGAAAATAACGGTGAGGGACTTAATTAGCCGTCAAGCAATTACGAAAATATTAATTGAATTGAACGGAAATTAAATTTTTGATTTTCATGAGTTATTCAAATAATTATGGATTGTGAAATGTTATCAGTAATTTTGTATTTTGATTTGCCGCAGATTAAATTGATATTAGGCAATGATTAATAACTGTATTTAAGTGTAGTATTAACAATAATTGCCAATTTCGAGCAGCCAAAGACAAAAACAAGATGTTGAAATTCTTTCTTTCAAAAAATTCTTACCAAAACCATTTACATTCCACTTAAAATGCGTGAATACCCATAAAAACTAGCTCCCCCTGCCCCTACACACACACACAAACACACACACACATGCACAGGCAGCTATGAGCCAATGAACGGCACAAGCAATAACACATGCACACATATACATACATACGTATGTACCGTAATTCCTATCTCTATCCATATCCATTCCATCTCCCCACCTCCCTCCCTCCCCCCACCAACGTCCATCCATTTTGAGTATTTCCCAAGCAAATGAAGCAATCAAAATTGAAATAATGTTATTGTTGTTTTTGCTCCACTTCAAAAGTAATTTACCTTGTTTTCTGGCATTTAATTCTTTAACATAACAACACACACACACACACACACATATACATAAACATACGCAATCTTTTGGCATAGCTAAACAAAAAGCATTTTCAAAAAAAAAAAAATCTACTCGGAAAAATTCAAATTCCATAATAGCCGGCTTCTATTTATAGGCCCACCCACACACGCACACACACACACACACACACTCACACACACATGCAAACGCACTTATTTTTGTTTTCATTTTCGACAACATTTCAGAGACCCATATATAGTATACATATAGCACAGGAAACGGAAGGAAAAACAGCAAGCGCCAGTGCTGCAGCTAGGGGAGGCGGGGTGCGCGGGCGGCACAGGAATTGTTTGGTAAAAATGCCGGCAAATGTTAAAGCGCAGGCGTTGTGAGTGCAAAAGAGCGTGTGTGTGAGCGAGAGAGCACGCACAACAACAGTTGGAGAGTCATTGCCGCGTTAACAGCGCTGTGCAGCAAGTTGATGTTGTGATTTTTTTCTCGTTCTAGCATGCGAGACATTTATAGCACAGTGGCTGCCAAACTGTTCGAGTTGCTTACATTTGAGTGAGTAAATTATGAATGCGAATGGAAAGAGGGAAGAGGGAGACTGTGTTAATGTTAGGCCGTGATTTTTTTTGCTATAGCATGCGAGAAATTTATAGCATGCCAGTGGCTGCAAAACTGTACGGGTTATTTAAATTCGAGTGAATTATGAATTTAAAAGGGATGAGTAGGGGCGGGGGCGGGGGGAGTAAGGCTGTGTGAGCGCATTTCGTAGGTTAATTAAAAAAGCTTTAGAGCATGATTAAGAGACAGGAACTTAATATGAAAAAATATAAATTTTCCCCGCAGTAGGTTGGGTGGAAGGTGGGATGTTGTAACGGGATTCTCAGGGAAAATAACTTTAAGAAACAAATTTTGGAACTGTATCAGATATTTGTGACATATTGGCCTAATATTTTGGTAGCTCGCACTCGCTAAGTTTATTCAATATTGAAATGGAAAAATAAAAGAGATGCTCCTCAATTTGAGTTCAATGCTTTCCACCATAAAAAGGTAACAAAAAATGGAACTTGTTCATTTATGCTTTGATTAAGGAACTCAAAATTTGATACTTCATATGAGCTTGGCAATCTGTTAAAACGGCGAACTGGTACTGGTTCATTTTAATCAAATTTAATAATCATATGAACTATGCAATCGGTTCAAATTAACTGCAAGTGGTGAACTGGTACTGATTCATTTTTTGGCTTGGTTGAGGAACTACATATTTTGAATTTCATTTGAGATTGACAATCTGATCATATTACCTGCAAGTGGCAAAAATGATCTAGTTCATTTGTTTTTGCAATCTGTTGAAATCGGCGAACTAGTACCAGTTCGTTTCTGCTGTGCGATCTGTTAAAATGAACTACGAATGGCGAACTAGTACTGGTTCATTTTTTAGATACAATCTGTTCAAATATCCCTCACTGGTTCATTTTTGCTAAAAAATTTGTCTAAATTACATGCAACAAGTGAAGTTATACTGGTTCATATGTACTTTGGCTTTAGTGCTTAATATAAGCTATGTGTTCTGTTCAAATTTCCCTCAAGCGGCGAACTAGTACTGGTTCATTATTGCCTTGACTTAGGAATTACAATTTTAATACCTGATACAAGCTATGCAATCTGTTCTAAGCCATGCGCCATAACCTAGTTGCCATGCTTGAGGAAAATTAACTATAAAATCTTGACAAAGCGACAACGTTCATGCTGCAGACACTGAAATATCTGGCAGAGATAACAAATGACGCCCGCGCTCAAATGCAGCTTAATTTATGTCGGATTTAAGATGCAAAATGTGCAGCAGGACGGCTAAGACAAAGCCAGAGCAGGGCGAAGCCGCCAAGCTGCCTTAATTTAGCAACTTGACAAATTGAATATGTATATATATATATATTAGAAGAAAATGCAGCGACAATGGCTTGACTTTTCCAGCTTTTCCAGCAGCTGCTGACAGCACAAAGGACCTTCATAAAATTAGCCTGGCAACAGGCGAAACGCACAATAATTGTTCATGACTAAAGCAAATTAACATTGCCGGCGGCCCACAAATGCAGCATTCGGTTATTTTGATTACTTCCGATTTTTTTGCTTTATTTTTTTGTGTGTGGGGGGGGGGGGGGTCGCCTCCAAGGTAAACAATATAAAACGCACGCCCGCCCATTAGGAATGCAGCGCACGCCCCAAGACGCTCATAAAGCCCACAAACATTGGGCCAAAGCTAAATTAAAAGGGAAAAACAAATCAAATAAAACGAGCTGCCGTATCCAACCATTGAAACGTGCCAGGGTCAGTCGCTAGCTGTGTCCGATTCTGCCCGATTTGTGACGTCTTTGAGACTTTTGCTATAAAAGCGACAACTATTCGGGTTTGTAAATCATATCAGTTTGTTATCGACAAGCAACAACAGCCCCACACCCAGCCAAGATGTTCAAGTTTGTAAGTAGATCAAAAGCAAATCCAGTGAACAGGACAATGAGAACTTCTGGAATGAATCAGTTCAAGTGTGATCAAAATATAGAGCTAGCTTCAAGCTAGATTCAAGCTGACAGCAAGTCAAGAAAGTGATTTGATTCATGGAACTAGTTCTCTGGAACAGAGTTCTGAACAGCAACCATAAATCAGTTCAATGTGATAAGAACATGAAGCTAACTTGAACTAGTTCTTTTGATTTAGTGATTCGAATTGATTCAAGTTGAAATAACAGTAAAAAATATACTATAAACGTGATCTGATTAACGGAACTAGTTCTCTGGAATCTTAATCAACAAGGACAATAAATCAGTTTAATGTGATAAAATATCAAACGAGTTTCAATCGAAAAAATAAGTGATTGAATAATTGAACTAGTTCTCTGATTAAATAATAGAATTAGTTCTCTGAACATGCTCTCTTAACCAAAATATTAATCGTACATAAAGTAAAGTAAAATAGGTAACTTTATTAATAGAGCTAGTTCTCTCTAGTTCTCTACATACATAAACTATTCAAATGAATCAGTTCAGGTGAATAAAATATGGAACCAGACTCCAGCTGCAACAACAAGAAGACAAAAAACTTACAGCTCGTTCTTTTGATGAACAGTTTCACTTTTAACAAAGACTCACAAATTGAGGCTTAGCATGCCTTATACTAGATTTCATTGAATGAACTTGTTCCCTGGAACAGTCTTCTGTAATCAACAATGACTTTTGTATGCAAGCACTATCCATACTCTCTTTACTCTTTACTCACGCTTCGAATCGCTTAAGAGTATTTATTTAATGTTTTCTGCTTTGTTTTGCATACGCAAATGTTTTACCGGCAGCTGCTCAATTGAACCACTAGTTCATAAACCAATAGATAACTAACTGTCTTCTCTCTCTCTCCCTCTCTCTCTTTTTCTCTGTCTCTCTTTCAGTTCGCTCTGTGCCTGCTCGCCGTCGTCGCTCTGGCTGCCGCCAAGCCTCAGTTCGTGGCCTACAGTGCTGCCGCCCCCTATGTGGCTGCCACGCCCTACGCTGCGGCCTACACCAGCGGCGTTTACGCCTCGCCCTATGCCGCAGCTTATACCAGCGGCGTTTATGCCTCGCCCTATGCCTACAGCGCCTATCCCTACAGCTCCGTGTATCTGAGACGTTGAGGATCGTCGGGACATTCCAATATACGGAGTGAACACTGTACCGTTTGTTGCTGAACTTGAAAATGAATATTGAATAAAACGCGAATTTCCAACTATGCCATTGCATTTGCTTTTGCGAGCTGTGGCACAGTTTTCAGCGAAATGATAAGGAAAATTCCAGTGAAAATTGTGGAAAATTACAAGTTTTTTGAAATATTTACGATGTCGTTGCCGCTGCTGCTCTTGTTCTTGTTGTTGTTGTTGTTGCTATGTGAATATTTAGTGCAATTTGCGTTGCCATCAAAAGCATTCGTCTCGTACATCAGGCTAGATGGGATCGTGAAGCAGGGGAGGGGGGGGGGGGGGGGGGTGGCAGGGCAGGGAGGGGAGGTCAGCTGTCGCTCGCATGAGTCGGCTTGCAAAATGTGCAAATTATGGCAACTAAGTTGCCTGATGTTGTCCCAAACACGCACAAAACGCACACACCAACACCCACGCACACAAACAGGAAGCGGAAGAGAGGGAGAGCGGGAGGGAGACACACTCACAAGCACGCGCTATCTCCCTCTCTCACTCACTCACACTCACTCATTCGCAGCGCCATTTGCATATTTTGCGTAGCATGCTTTCAGGCGCATTGTGCACAGTGGTTGCAGAGCATATGAAAAATACACAGACACACACACACACACACAGCTAAAAAACAAACACACTTTGAATAATGCGCATTGCGATAAAAACTAAGCAATGCATTTCGCTTAGCATAAAAGCAATATAATGCAAAAAAAAAAAAAAAAAAAAATTGATAAATGGAAAAAGTTGATATCAAATACAAAAAAATTGCACTAGAAACCGATTTAATGGCCCAAACGAATTTTCCATTTGATTTCACAGCAACAGATATTAAAATATATGTTGAAGCAAATACATATATTTTTTTATCAAGTGTCAGTTGTAGAAATAAATAAATATATATAAAAAAAAAATAAGTAAAACATTCACGAATATTTATGATGATTTTGTTGGCATTTGAAAAGGTTGCTTGTTGCAAAAGAAAACTTAGAAATTGCAGCACTTTGAACGGCTTTACTCAGACAGAGCTCGACTTGCAAATACCCTGTAAATGCAGCTTTTAGTATATGTAAGCTATACAACCTATATACCCGCATATTATGTGCGAATTGCGTAGAATACTTTAACAAATATGCCATAAATATTTACACTTGACAGACCATTTCCCAATGTGTTCAGCTTTTCCATTAGTTGGCAAAGAATTGATTGTGATTTACACTTGAAATATTTGCCAGCTTTAAAATGTTTGGAAAAGTTGCCCGCTCAACGGATTCCTAAACAGATATGTCAACGCAAAAAGAAAATGCACAACTAATGAAAAGTTTTGTTCAAGTTTTGCGGCACTTTTTGTTGGCTTTTAGCCGGCATTTTATGGTAATTACGCGTCATCAAAAAACTTGCCATTGCGAGCGGAGCAAAATTTAACAGGTGCTGCGGCACAGGAAATTCCTGTACTCCAGCTGCCAATTGTAAATCTAATTTGTGATCCCATGCCACGGAAAATCTGTGGAAGCCGGAGCAACGCCTACGTGTGACCACGGGCCAAGGAGCTGGACAAAGGCCAAGACGCACGCCCACAACACGGCGATAAATGCGTGGGCCTTACCTTTGGGGACGGGCCCGACACTCAGAAGCCGCTTGCTGTCACAAAATGTGCCTTAAACAAGCACACAAACACACACACACACACACACACACACACTAGGGTAGACATTACCATTTTCCGCACAAGCATTTCCCCGAGCTAACGGTTCATTATCACAGCCAACATCGGGCGCGGCGGCAGGGCGAAGTGTAGTCCATCAATGTCAAACTTACCTGTAAGAAAGAGAGCGAGGAGAGAGAGAGAGAGGGGGGAGAGCGTAAGTGATTGAAAGAGATAGACATGTGTTAAATAAAGTTAACTGTATGAACGATGCGTGTAAATATAAATATTAAATATGACTAAAGGTATTAAATTGGGCACAGCTGCAGCCGGGATACTCTATCTACACGATAATAATCCCAAAGAAAGTTAAGAATTTATCAGATATTTAGCACATATCTCTCAAAATATCTTAACTTAAATAAAAACCACTTAAATACCAAGCCATATTTAAATATATGAAATATTTAAATATAATATGATTTTAGATAGAGCCATATTTTGATTAGTTCTTCATGGGAATCTGCATAACTCGACAATTATAAAATTAAAACTATTTATTTTAAATTTTATTAATAAATTTTCAAGAAATTTGTAAGCATAAATCATAACTCCAAATATAGATCTTGACTTTTAAGAGATTCTATATCTCATAAATTATAAAAAATAACTATATATTATCTAAGTCTGCTTCTGCTGAATATATCTTAACATTCAGAACTTTTCTCGCACTGAAAAAAAAAATCACTTTAATGACTTTCCATAAAGCATAAGAAAACCCAACAGAATATTAAATCAGGCATTTTTATGCAAAGGCCATTGTGCAGCAGTATAATAAATGTTGATTTCACTTTTCTTCACGTTTATCTTCTGCTTCTTCTTCTTCGTCTACGCTTGACATTTTCCTTTCTTTTCTTTTCTTTTCTTTTCTTTGGCATTGTTTGGCAATCAAGCTAAGTAAATACCGCATATATCGCATTTATTTTTGGCAGAATAATGTCTGTTGAATCAAATTAAAAATCGACATGTGTTTGCGCAAACAACAGTTGAATTCGTGTGGCAAGCTGTACAAATATGTAGCAGGTGCAATGCCACAGAAGAAGAAGAGCTGCGCAAATACTCGTACGTCAAGCTGCAAGTCCCAGCTCCATCAAACTGAAGCCAAATGGCGTCGGTTACCCTCTGGGAACTGGGTTTAGGTTTAAGGCATTTGCAAGCACAGCTCTTCGGTAATCTTGGCGCAAGGAATGAGACATTTAAGGCTCTGCATTTGAGCTGATTAAACCGTTTGGGAATTACACGTACAAGCTAGAGAAACAATTGTTTTTTTTTACTTTTAATAGCCTGACATAAATAATAAACCCTTTAAAAGGAAAAAAGTGTCAGCTACTTGAATGTGAAATGGAAACGGAAAGATCGGAATTTGTTGAATAAATATATAATGAAAAATATATTATTATAAACAAAATAAAAAACATGAACCCAACATTTGGGTGAATAAAGAGCTGAACCATGCTAAAAACAGACAAGTAAGAGGTTCTAGTCGGGAGCTCCCGACTAGGGGATACCCTGAACCCTCTTCTTCCAACATCAAATGCATATATATATTCTATTTTAGAAGCTATATGTCAAGTTTGGTGACTCTAGCTCTTATTATTTACCAAAATTGCCCAAAAAACAGGATATCGATAACGATTTTTATCGATTGCTTGGAAACGGAGCAAGTTATCGATTATCGGAAACAAACTCGATTTGCGCAGGAACTAGGAGCATCTACATCTAAAATTTCAAATTTTCTCTAGCTCTTATAGGTTCTGAGATCCTTGCGTTCATACATACGGACGGACGGACGGACGGACGGACCGACAGACAGACGGACATGGCTAGCTCGACTCGGCTATTGATGCTGATCAAGAATATATATACTTTATGGGGTCGGAGATGCTTCCTTCTGCCTGTTACATACATTTGGATTTTGCACAAATACAATATACCCTTATACCGATTTTTAATGGGTTCAGGGTATAAAAAAGAAATATATATTGTAGATCAACATCAATGGCCAGGTCCGTCTGTCCGTTTGTCTTGGTGTCTTTTTCTATGGGAACTATTCTCCAGAATTGAACTTAACACCCAAATCTTGGTTTAAAGAGCTGCGAGATCTTGTTAACGCGCCGAACCTTAAGGCAAGACATTGGATTCGAACCGTTAACCAAAGTTCAAGGCTTTAACTAGCTGCCTTATATAACTCGACTCAAGCTCCTCTTTAAATCCCATCGATTTGAAGCTGCAATTTATTACTTATTTTAATTAAACTAAGCGCTTGGCTCAGTTTTGAATTATAGTCGAACGCCTAAATCACTTGTGCTGTAAATGATTGCAATTATCAAATTTCGCTTGATTAATTGTTGCTAAATGCGGCGACAAAATCGAATTAATTGGCGAGCCGGCAAAAGGAGACGCGCACAAGATCTCGACCGGGGCAATGGAGGCAGTAAGTAGGCAGCGGCTCCTGAAGCACTTCAAAAGCGGGTTTCAATTTCATGATGAAACATCTTTAACTCGTTGCCAAGGGTTGCACATTTTGCTGTCCGGCATTTGCCGTCATTTATTTAAAGCTCAACGGCGTGAGGGCGAAAGGGAGGCTTAGCTGGGCGTCCATTCATTAAGAATTCATTGCTTAATTTGGCAGCAAGAACAACAGCATGTTGAGAAAGAAGAAAAACAAAAAGATGGCATCGAACCTCGGTTAAAAATGCACAGCAACAATTTCCGTTTCCGCTCGATGCCCGACTTCCGTTTCAGCCTGAATTGTTGCTGGCGATGTTTGCGCAACATTTGCGTGCCGCAAACCGTTTGCAAATGTTGTGCTAATAAATGTTTGGCCTATTAACGACACAAATCAAGCGCCACAGCCTTGACTTTTGGCCACAGCACAGCTCGATTGGCAATTTAGACACACACAGAGATACACACACACACACACACACACACTTTTGAAGTCTGGCGTTAAATTGAAGCGCGTCTCTTGAGATAAGGCAACTCTCAGCTATCTCTGGCACTTTCTATTCTGTTGACTGATTTTCACTGCGCTCAACGTGGCGTATAATCGATTTTTATTATTATGCCCGTATTTGTAAAAATCGCTCAGCCGACACGTTGCCCATGCCTCGGGCGCACCACGTTTAACAAACTAACTGAAATCAATTGCAAAAAGCTGTCAGCACCGTGTTTTTCACCTATTTTATTTTCTTTTACTTTTTTTTGCATGCATATGCTTTTGGTCAACGCACGCAAAGACCGCGCGAAGGTCGACTCAGAAAGAGCAAAATAAAACATAAGCACACTTAAATCAATAGACTTTGACGGCACGAAATTGTGTGTAAAATTTAGACAAAG